GGCCTACCATAGAATACTACATCTTCCCTCGACGCTTAACGGCAACAGAGGATGGAAAAGTCAGAAGTAACGTTAAAGTAAGTTGTTTTGTTTATTTTTTGTTGTTTGTTTTTTCCTCGACCTGTGTCGTTGTGGTGGAAGTTTCGGGACTGGCGTTATGCTGTAGACTGCTTACACACGTGTTCTACGTTAAGCTTGTTCCTAATACAGAATGGGTTGGGGGTTTTTAACTGTACAACATTTTTTTTTAATATCTCGCTCAAAATTTGTATTCGAATGTTGTAATTTGGAACAGATATACTCCATTCTAAAAGAATTTGTTTGACATCAGAATTTACAAAGAAGAAACTTAATTTAGGCAACAAAATGGCTTTTATTTGTTTTAAACACCTCAAAACGCAGAACATGCACCTATTGAACAGATTGTGTCCGGAAAATCTTGTAAAGAAAATGATGGGTGGTTTTTTCTTCTTTCCTTTTATTTGTAAAATGTAATCTTTCCTTCTCTGTAACCTTTGAATTATACTTTTTTCTCCTTCAGAGTTTTAAACTATTTTAAAATTCTGGAATCCCGAGAGCCATTGTCTATATACTATATGTCCTCCCTTGGACTGGACACATTTTAACGCATCGTTCGTAATGTTCAGTAGTGGCCAAACACAAGGATCCACTCAACCGTGAGTACTTAAAGCCACACACACTGCACACCTTACAGTATGGAGTTGTTTCTGGAGACAAAATAAGGGGGAGGGGGGGTTGCCCAAATAAACATTGTGGAGTTGATATAACCTGAAAGATGACTGTGGGCTTTGCCAAGAAACCAAATGTCATAGTCATAGTATAGAGGAAATGTTCAGGCTTTTCTAGACGATTAAGGAATTATGAACACTTTGCTATCCTCTGATAGCTTCGCAAACGGTACAGTCGTAGATGAAAATCTGCCTTGAGAATGAGGACTGTTGAGATGTAGGAAATTCATTGGTGCAGACATCGTCTACGGACAGACGTCTCATGGGGCTCATCTACTGAATTCTGCACCCTGGTGACGTTTAAAGGGGTGAGAACGGTGTGTGTTTGACATGAAGTGGTCGTTTTTCCTGGGAATGTTTAGTTCTGATTCTCTACAGGTCCTAACTGATAGACCGCTTCCACCCTTGACATCAAAGAAGGTCTTAAGGGCGCTTCAACATTATTTCCATACCTTGTGCTGAACTTACGAACTGAATTGGTGGTGAGGAAATGTTCAATACGAAAAGCTCTCTGCTTCTTACTGATCTTAACCATGATCTTAGCAGGCAAAAGAAGCTTGAGAAAAACTATCTGCAAACTTCTGTTGGCCTGTTAGACTACTGTAGTTTGCAATATGGCGCGATCGTTTGGTTGTTTTGTTGGGGGGGGGATTGTTAATTTTTTTAAAGACGCAC